ACGATATACCACAACATGGTCCTATATATGTCTTATTCATTAAACTTAAACTATAGCATAGGAATTAGGAATTAATTATTATAGTATGTATTTAAGCTTGTACGTCACAATACTCATAACATGCGAAGTTTCCGAGATGCAATCTGTTGTGATGAGGTGACATAAAATTTTGTTTTTTAACGCCTCCACTGCTGTGTATGCGGCGAGAAAAAGTTCCGGAGTCCTGCTGCTAATATTTTGGCAGGTGTGTGACGTGTGTCGTATACTTGTGTGGTGCGGTTATGTGCGTCACGGTCATAGCGGAGGCGAATGACTGTTATGCGGACTTATAAATGAGATATTTTGTTTGTTTTTAATGCAATAAAAGTTTTTCCGACCGTAAATTGTGTTAAGGTTTTCTTCCAATCGTTTGTCGTTCGATCTTTGAAAATTGAACTATGATTGGGTACAAGCATCATAGAGTCGAGGTCTTAAAATGAACGAGGTCCTAAAACAATAAACATATGCCATTATCCTCACCTTTAGTTTACAGTGCTGGCCAAATTTAATTTTGGATAGGCGATTGCATAGACCTATTAACATAGGTCTATGACGGATAGTCATTAACTTGTGGTTAACGAAGGTAAGACGTTGGTTGTAGAGCGTGCCGTCGTCGTTATCTATATTAATAATGTAATTTAATTGAATTTGAAAAATTGCAGGTGATATATGTGTGGGGCAGTACAAAATATAGCCAGGGTATTTGCTGGTTGCCATTTTATTGTGTACATTCCAAAAGTAGGGCAGAAAAAATCGATGTAATTTACATATTAAAAAAAATCTTATGATTTGATCCGAATGGCACTATTGCACTAATCAATTTAAATGTCTTAATATTTTCTCGTGAGGTGGAAGTCCACCTGTGAATCTTAATGATGACACTCAAAGAAGTAACACTAATGCGTAATAATATTATCCATTACACCCATTGTAAATATAATGTACTTTGTTTGTACTAGCATTGATTTTAGAATATACTAAAATCAATGGTACTAGTCATGCTCAAGCAGTCAAGCGTTTCTCTTAGCGGCCACTGGTAAGGCGCCTTCTGTTAAACCACGAAAAAAAGGAACACCGGTACCTAACATATAATATTTTAACATATTTATAATATTATACTATATAGTCTCAAAAAATATATCTAGTCGATTTGTAACCGTTTTTAGTTGTTTTCTATTATTGTCTATAGAACACTATGCCTATAGGGCGTATGGCCGTATAGGTACTATATTTTATACTTTGTCTTGTATCAATAATTGTTTGTCAATGTATTATGTACTTGTGTAGTTGTTTTCCTTGTTGATGAGGAATGAAAATAAATAACAATATCTAATTTATATTACTAGTACGTATTGCTGTTAACACTTATAGTTTGCTAATAGTTTGAATTTAGAAATGAAAATGTATTATCGATTATAAAGATTATCTACATAATATATATTATGTTTTAGTGATAAATATGATAACCGAGAAACTTAGTTACAAAAATTCTCGGTAACCATCGATAGCTCACCTGACGGCTGACATTATTTATCTGTTCTTCAATTGTTAAACTTCGCGGAAAAAGGTATAGAAATATAAATTAGAAAAATGAAATAAAATGTCCTGAAGATTGGAAGGCGGGTCGCCAGTGAATATAGGCACGCTGTGTGTGTATAGAATCTCTAAAATAAAGTACCCATTTCGGTTATTACCATCATATGTTTTCCCAATAATTGATACGTACTACTTTCTAGTTACTAAGGTCGTCTTATTATTCCGGTGTTCAGAATTATAACATAGGTAGGTTAGGTATTTTTCATAGGAAACACACTTGCATACAATATTATAGTTTGTACTTAATAAGTTAAAATATGAGATGAAGTTATCGAATATAACCGATAATCTTTGGCTTAAAAGTTCATTCGGAACGAATGCAGTTAAGCTCCTAAGCAATTTTTAAAAAAAAATTTTTCCAAAATGTGTTTTTGCATGCTCAATTTAATGGTACTTTCAAAAGTCACTTGAGCTTCATTTGGAAGTTAAAGTCAAAAAATTTCAAAATGCTCGATTTTTCTAAAAAATGCATTTATGCCATACATTTTAATTATGAATATAATTCAATCAAATATTTATGTTACAATTGGACCGTCTTCTATAGGTGCAGTGTATAATATAATACAATATAACTTAATTAAAAATCATCATGTAGTTAAATGAGTAAATCACCTATTAGTTTAATAAATCCATTAACTACATAAGCATACACCATAAATTAATCAATGTATGATAAAGATTAGTGAAATAATTAATTCGAGAAAAATGATCGTCCTCAGCATGGCTCGTAGTGCGCCTATAGTACCAGTGTACCACAATGGGAAACGTTGAATACTTAACTACTGAACAATGTTCTTTTATTTAAAATATAAAAATTAAATTCATTTTGTATTTTTACTTTTTAGGGTACTTAACTATCACAAATATTGTATATATGTAAATAATAATATACGATAATCATTATTTTTTACTATGGAAATAAGTAAAAACAAATGTTTTCCATTATAGAGTGTATGTCGGCATTTAATGAAGTATAATCAAATTTTTACGACTGTAGCATTCAGGATTTTTATCGCTATCTGCATGGTGAATACATACTGGCACAGCCACACAGAAACATACATAATATGACACTGAACAAGTGAATAAGTTCGTAGAAATGAAGAATTAAAAAAAATGTTCGTTTTGAAAAATGCTACTTCAGTAACAATACAAAATATATAATATTACATACACTTAGCTATATTTTTATAATATTTTAATATTAACAATGGTGGTTTTCCTAATCGAGTGCCGAGTACCTGCTAAAATTAGTCTTATTTGAAAATATATCTATTGGTACCGATTCGTGCAATTTCATACTTTTATTTGAATATATTTAAATATTTATAGTCCACAGTTTTTATATTGGTAACTTAATTAATCGTATACCTACTTATTACCTACCCATAGTAGACATAACACGTTTGTTATTGCGTGTCGATACCTATACATCTTATATAAATGACTAAATATATTATATAATATTATATAATAATTAATATTATTACGATCGTTTTTCTTAACCACTGTAATCTGGTTGGATTGTTTTCGTGGTCTACATTCTACAAGAGACAACAGCCAATTGTCAACGTTAAAAGTGGCGTAATAATAAACAATAATATTGACTTATTGTTGTCGTTTTTAACTGTCTATTTGAAAAGGGTCGTGAGGGCAAAATATCGTTGGGCCGTGAACGATTGAGGATATACCTTCTGCACAGACGCACAGTAATCGAATGGTGGTGGCGGGGGAGTGGGGACCGCGTTTAATTTATGCCGGACACTCGTCTGGTCTAGCCAGCCGAGCCGGAATTTCGATGTCTATACGTTATTTTGAATTTAATTCACATTTGTCTCGTACGCACTACAACACGAGTCCTGCAAAACGTAAATGCTGTGGTATGCGTTATTTTATTTACGGTCTCAAAACGATAAACCCGTCTCGTGCGCTTCGCATTATAATAATTATTTATATAATAGCATAATACACATTATAATATTATTATACGGGTCTCTGCGATCTTGCTACTTTGCGAACCAATACGGCAAAGATTCTCTTAGTAATATTTTTTTATTATTGTGCTCGAACAATCGCATTTGATTTTACTGCGCTCAGGATGCTGATGAACGCCCTGATATTTTTATGGCTTTTATACAGCGGTTATGAATATTTATGTACCTACCTACACTATAGACAGTAGGCACTGACACGCGATCCGAATATTGTGGAATGTGGAAAACAGACGGGGATAGCAAATTATTGTAAAAACGTTGATATTTCTCAATAATAATAATATTATTATTATCAGCACACATCACATTAGGCGTCTATATATAATTTATACGACGAAGTGTGTGCGGGAATTACCCAGCGTAAAATTACACTTAGAAAATTGTCGGAAATTTATTATTTAAACAAATCGAACTGCGTAGTGCGTACGTTAGTTAGTGCTATTGTAGTAATGCTAGTTACTGTTGAGAAATGTACAACAAGTGTTGAAGTTTAAGTACCTACATAATAAATAAATAAAATAAGAAATAACGATACATTTGCTTTTTAGTTTTTAATATTATTTTCAAATTCAAATACTACTTTTACATTATACATTTATACATTATACCACAAACGCGGTGAATACCTTAGTAGCTTTCTACTACTAAAAATACGGTGGTTACTAGTCACGAGGTTGGAAGTAGTATCAGTATTCAAATGGTGAAAAGGTTAGGTTAGGTTAGGTTAACGAGACAACCATTTTCAAATCACCAGGGTAGGATCTACTTGATATCTATAGGTTCATGTCGAGTTGTGCGTGACTGAGCCACAGGCCACCCTCCGGGGGCAGGGGACGCCAGTCAATAAACAAAGCGACGGATACATTGTACCGCAAATAAATTTTGCAAAAATTCAAAATAATATTTTTATGTGATGCTCTCATCGAACTAGGTACAACTCTGACCCGATCCCCGATTATTATTATTCGATCTTTTTTCTACCTATTTTGAAATCGTACGAATTCTCAGACGACCGGCCAATTTCCATTCAGTATTTTATACAATAGTCAACAACTAAGCCAAGATACCCAGTACGCCTACTAAGCCTAACGAGTAACGATTCACAACCGGTCGTCAGAAACAGAACTCAGAACGATCCAAACAGAAAACGCGTTTGAATTTGGAATTTTTTTTTTCCTTTCTTTTCGAGTTTCGACCGTTGTGTACAGTTTTGCTCGTTCGGCTCTGTTCGTGTCCGGTTGCCGCCGCCGTCACCGCCGCATCCGCAGCCTCCTATTGGCCGACCGGCCGGCTGTTACCTTGTCCCCGCCCGTCCGCCCGTCCACCCCACCACTCTCGCCGACGGCACGGTACACATGTTCTCCGGTTCCCGTCAGCCGAGACCGAGTTTCGAATCCTAACCGACAATCCGATATTCCGATCCGGCATTCCAATTTCCAAGTGTGTAGTGATAGAGTAGGTTTTGTTGCCGCGGAAGAATCGTTGTCGTTTGTAGTGTGCAGTGCACGAATTCAGCATTATCGACTTATCGTTATCATGTGCCGCCGCCGTTGCGATCCCACGCCAGAAGGACGTAAATCGTCGGCGTGACCTACCAAAATCTCTCGTGTTTACTATCAAAACTTCGTCGGCGGCACGTTTTGCGCGCGCGTCTCATCGACCACCTAACAACTCGCCTGACGACCGAAACAGGTAAAGTAATGATCACTAATATACATATACAGCGACGACTAATTATCGTTTAATCGGTGCTCATCCCGTAGTTAGTTAATGGGCAATTACGACGTACTGGGCTCAAAACGTACCGCCGCCAATTAGCGTAATTGCGCGTCGTTAAGGGTGCTCGATCGTCGTGCGTTTGACTTTCGTCGCGAAATCAATAAAAAATAATAATTACACTAGCCGGGGGCGCATGTTGTCTCGTTTAAATGTGTACGTTAAGTCTGCGCTCAGGTTTGGGGTTGGTTGTCGTTCGTCGAGCTATGCAAAACCATTTATGTCGAAACGGCCGAACGCGCCAAATTTGACGACCCTGTCTCGCCAATAAGTGGGTCGCGATCGAGAATTCTGTCGAGCTAGGGATTTTGCGGACTTTTCCGTATACCGTTTGTTTTTTCACCCGTTACGGCTTGACGAGTATTTCGTAGTACCTACTTGCTTCGGTTTAGTGGATTACCACTATTAACCGAGATTTGATGGTGCTCGATATGATACCTATTACTAGAACCATCCTACACGGTTACACCTCGTCATGCACCGAACGATTTCTGCTGGACGCGTCTGTTACAATGATTTTATCATTTTATCACCGTATAAGAGAGAACTTACCTTTGTCCGTGTACTTGCCGCCAAATTTTTTCCATCGAATTTTTTGCGGTGACATTTTTCACGCCTTTCGTTCATGGCTCGTTTACGAGCTGCAGTAGCAATTGGAACAGCACGAAATATATATTTTTCGTGTTTTAATAATAAATAATCACGTTTCCTGGCATTCTACATTAGGTCATAACGTACCTAGATATGGGTTTCTAGACTAAATGTACCTAATTATAATTAATGGTATCAAAATTATTCATAACAACAAACCAATTATTATTTTTTAAACCTACCTAACGTTTATAAGAATACATTTTTTTAATCTGGTAATTATTTGCTACTTATATAATGTAATTTAATGGTAGGTAAATATTTTTATTAAGTTTATAGTTTGATATTATATGTTTCTTTATATCTCACTACTTATTGTTATTTTGTTAATCATGACATAATTTACTTTTTAATAAATACATAATCTTGTAATACAATTTTTAATTTATTTAGTTTTTAAATTCAAAGTTAATTTAATAATTACCATTTTTATTTGAGTTAAAATAATATAGGTGCCAATAATATAAATACATTTGTATCAAATTTTTTTTTCCTTCTCTAGCCATTAGAAACAATGTAAACTAACGTATTTTCGGTAACAGCTAACAACCATTGATGTTCCTAATAGCTCAGGTGATAATAGTTTGACCCTGATGTTAGGGTTATATAGTTGTAAACCAAGATTTGAATGAATAGCGCTTAATTATTTCTAACTGATTGAATGAGTTGAGTTTAATAGGTATGTATTTTGAATTTTATTTCAAAGAATAAGATAAAATGTTAATAACAATGTTTTAGCTGCACACATCGGTATGATTGTAATGAATTAATGATAACATGTTCAGAATAATATTTCATACTATTATCTCTTTTAAGTTACCTTTTATTTTATTATATAACTACCTTTTTAAATACATAATATAAATTTCACCAATATTTTTAATTTTTAATTTTTGTATATTGACTTAGATTTGTTCTTTTTTTTTAATAGATAGATAAGTGGGTAGGTAAGATACCTTAAAGTAAACCTAAGTGAAAACAGATTAAGGCCAAATTATAATTGGTTAGTTCATACATTTTATTGACATTTATTTTAATTGATTTTGAGGTACGTGTTGATTCTAGACAGTACAAATTATTCATTAATTCAACAATTTATTCATTAGCGGGAAATTGTTTAATACCTACAGAAATACCTAGTTTAACATGAAAAATACGAAACAAAATGTAATACATTTATGGTTGTTAAAATGTATCAATTAACTATCTGAGCCCTAAATAATTTATCTTGCATTTCGATTTCACATTTAATGATTTTGTATAAGCATATACCTATATTTATTTTTATTTTTAATTTTTTTTTTTAGATAATCAAAAAGAAAATGATGGCAGACATATCTACAAAAGAATCTCCATGTTATAACAATTCATTAACTACGTCAACACCTTACAAGAGTATAGATGACAGTGGTTACAATACACCAAGTTATAATGTTTCCTCTAATCTCAGTCAGATATCTGAAGTATCTATTTCATTTGATCATACACCATCAGATATTGATTCACTTCAATTATCTTCACCAACTCATGATTTTACCTTAGACAAAAACCATAGGAAATTAGAAGATATTACCAATACAGTCGAGTCTCCAACAAAAAAATTTAAATTGTGCTCTGACTTACAATTTAGTTTTCGTTTAAATGAAAGTTCAAACAATGATGACAGTCAGTTCTTAAAAAGAAAAAACTACACTCTACCAAAAAATTTGAACCGTGAACGTACTTCTATAGAAGGTAGAGAAAAGGTTGATTTTATGTATTTTTTATCAGAGCGTTATCATTTCCAACCAGTCATTGAAAAAATATTATCTTTTTTATCTGGAAGTGATATTTTGTCAATGTCTATGGTATCTAAAATTTGGTCTACTGCTATTGAAAATTCCCCAATTGCTCAAAAAAAAAAACAAAAGTATTTTAAACTATCAAAAGAAAATCGCTATGTATATGCTGGCCGAGACCGTTCAGCTTTTAATAACAAAGGATGTCTAGCAAATATTAGCAACGTTATGCGTTCTCCATCAAAAAGAGAATTACCTCAAAGAAGTCCACCTGTTAGTCCGAGTAAATATAGATTCCACGTATTTCAAAAAGTAAGTTAAATTATTAAAATTTATTTAAGCATTTGTCTAATTTATACTTGTGGTAGATGTGAAGATAATTTTTTAATCTGTAAAATTAGTAAATAGGTCTGTTCTATATAAAACATTTATATTTATTGTATTAATGTTTTCACGTAAATGATAAATTGTATATAGATAATGTAATATTGACTTATATTTCTGTTTTAGGAAGCCAAAAAATTAAGTTCAGATCAGCAATTGGTCCCGTGCCCACGGTGTTCAAGACCAGCATCATGGTCACCTTCCCAATCAACACGAGCTGAATGTAAAGGGTTTCATTGTAAATTCATCTTTTGCACTGAGTGTAAGTGTGAATATTCTAACACATTTGAACACAAATGTCTATGTACACCAATTATATCAATGTCATATAACTGTCGGCCAATGATGTACAACTTGAGCAGAAGGAAACATAACTTGAGAAGATTGTAAGTAAATGTAAATTTTATTAAAACATTTTACTTCTTGACTTAGTGTCTTAAAATGTTTCCTAAACATAAGGAGTTTTTATGCTTTTATTTAAATATGTATTTGTAATAGTATGAGATCATAATTTTTTTTTATGTTGTTGTTATTAATATAATTAATTTTTTTTTTTAATGTTTTGACCAATTTGGTTTTTATGTAGTTACTTGTTTATAATAATAATTATTTTTTTTTTTTTTTGAATTTTAATTATGTAACTTTAATTTATTTCACATAATTATTATTTTTCAAGTCGATAATTGAAATTATTTGCTCAAAATATTAATATATAAAGGAAAAAAGGAAATGATTACATATAAGATTTTGAATTAAATTTTTAATCGACTGAACTTTAAAAAGTAATGTTACCAATGGCTTATTGTCATAATATGTATCTGTATACTATTATAAGAAAATAGTTTTAGTTGAAAACTCATGTACAAATTTATGAAGCTTAGCTCTCTAATGTATTTTTAAGTACTTTGTTTTTATATTTTTAAATATACAATTAACAGTTCTACTTAATTTTTATATCTTTTTTATTTTAATTAGGTTTTTATATTTACGTAAAGTGATTTTTTAATAATAATTTAATGTGTTTAATATATTTTAATTTGTGTTCCCATTTTTTACAACTTTACGGGTACAATTTTTTGATTTTCATGACTTAATTTTACACTTGAATCTCATTTAATTTAATTTGTATTAATCACTTTGTTTATTTGCCATATGGTTTTTGCTAACCAGAATTATTTTAATAAGAATACCTTTTATATTTTATAAATATGTACTTGATCAAACATTCCTCTGCTCAATTTTTTTTTATACTGTGTATCTTTTGTATAGTTTTTAAAAGTTAAGTAATACAAAAAGTTGAACATACTTTATAGTTGATTAAGATTTACTTAAATTTATTTTTATAAAATACAAAAGTTGAATGTACATAAAAAAAATATTAAATTGATTTGAAATAAAAATTAATTTATTTGATACCTATTGTTTTCTACTTTTATTTTTATTCTAAATGCTATTGCCTATTACTTATAAAATAATGTACTTAGTTAGTACAATTATTTTTGGAAATATGTTATGCCTTTGTTTGTAAATATTATTTATCATAATTTACTAGTATTATTTGGATTTTAGTGTAGTTAGTTATAGAAAGTAACATTAAGTAAAGTAAGAATTTGAAATCTAATGGTCTGAACATTTAAGTTATAATCAAAATAATTTATGTTTGTCTTTGGTTGACTTAATAATCTATAGGACAATATTTAAAGGAGAAAAAATCCCCCAATAACCATAAATGTAAAATAATAATATTTATATACTTTTCTATTTATTTACAATTAAATTATTTTATTTTTCTATTCTAAAATGCTATGTATAATAAATAGTATCCATCAACAGACTTTTTAGCGCATAATAAATAAATATGTTTACATTAATAGTTGCATATAACATGTTAATGCTGGTAAAAAAAAGTATGTCATTAATATACACACAAACATAATCTCACATACATATTAGTGCGTGTTGTGTGTATGTATATTTAAATCCATAGTGTGGCCCATGGCCGCTTGTTGTTTGATTATTCTCTAAGTGTAAAAGCAACCTACTTTTAATCACATCACTTGTTTGATCGCTGTAATGAGCAAATGTTTCAGAATAAATGTTTTGTCATCCAACCTTTCTGATCTGACCGTGGCTGTAATTTGTACTCCATTTAATTGTTTCACATTGCTTCACAATTGTGTTCACCTTGTATATCCTAGTAGGTATTTAGGTATTTGGTATGTGTAGCGAGGTATGGACATGATAACAGACATCCTAATAATAATACCGTATGCATATTAATATAACAGTTTAAATCAGATAGTAAATTAATGGCTGTTGCTTATAATAGTATTGAATTATTGTATTGTACATGCCACCTACTGTGCTATTCATTTTGTCTAATCAATTGTTTTTCAATTGAACACTTGGCATGTTCAAATAAAATTACACAGTATTCAATAATCAATATAACTATTAAGTAACAGTCAGATACAGTTAGTTCCAGAACCATAGCAAATTGTTTGGTAATTGGTCATAATTTATGAAGGTAAATTTTTTTCTTATTATTATTGTATGCTATTTATTTATCTCTTAGATTGAACATTAAATTATATTTTTAAATAATAATAATTTAATTGTGTCTGGAACTGAAATAGGCTGTATGGGAATGATATTGTAATAATATAATTTTTAAGACAAAATTGAATTTGTTTGTAATTTTTAAACAATAATATTGACAAATACAGTTTTGAGTAAAATATTTGTTTCTTAATTAAAATAATCATTATTTTTTTGATGAAATGTATAATATATATCATAATATATTGTCAAAATATAGTATTTTATTCAGTTATTTAAATTTTATATTTTATTTTGTATTTTATTACTTATAAAAAAAGTTAGTAATCAATAAATTGATCAAATATCTAAGCTATTTATTTAATTTTACCTAAATCCTAAAAGATAAATAGTAAATAAAATAAAATTGAAGTGTCCACTTCTTTTTAAATTAAATCTTATTTAAAGGTATACAATTAATTTATTAGGTTGGTACCTACTTTGATTTAAAAAGATTATGAGAGCTTGTAGAATACTAAAATTTTAACTGACAATATTGTAAATATAATTTGTTCTCTTCTATTTTGTCTTAATAATAATATTATTTTCTATTATAGTATTTCTATAAGGTACTTAAAATAACCCACTCACCAATAAATAGAAGGTTGCTGTAGGTGAATATATAGTGATAGTTACAGATGACCGTCACCTTAGAATTTAGATCATAGTCACTCTTAGAAATAGTAAAAATTAAAATATTATTTTTTCTTCTGTGTTTAGTTATTAAAAAAGCAGGTATAGCGGTTAGTATAGCATTAGTTTTAAGGTCAAGCCTTGTGTTTTGTTGACTGGCAAGTATGGAATTATAGCAGGCACCCAATAATATTTTATTGATATTATAGAAACATACGAGGCAGTGAACCCATTGTATAGCCACGCACTCCAACTAATCCGTGAACCAGCATCAATACGTGACTCAATTTCTTGACATAAGATCTTTCGGTCATGCGAACGGCCTGATCTGAGATCACATATCATACGTTTTTTACACTCTGCATCACATGCAGGTCTCGTTGGAGAGTTTTTCCAGTAATGCCTATAAAAGTCATTAATTTATTTTATAATACTTTTTTATTATTATTTATCACAGTGGAATATTACTTGTAATATAGATCAAATAAAGTTTGATCTTCAGCTAAATTATTAACAAACACATCCCAGTCCTCGGGCCTCAACGAAGGTAGACTATATGCCGCTTGTGTAGAATATAATTTTTGCCAGATAGGATAGTCATATAAATTAGCTTCTTTCAAATTCATCACCCATGTTTCGTGGTCTAGCACTGCCTGTAGATAGATTAGAAAATATGTTCAATTGTCACTTGTAAGTTGGATAATTTAAATTTCATTACTCTTGTTGAATGCTCTCTATCACCATCTACATAATATATTCTGTAACCGGGATTGAGATCGTAGTATGGAGTGACAGAAGGACCAACATATGCTATGCTTACTGGTCTACCAAGATCTTGTGTATCGTAGAACAGTTCAAATTCATCAAAATGGGTATGGCCAAAAAATTGAGCAGTAATTGTGCTTTCATACCTATTGAAAAATAATTTTTATTCTGTAATTTAGTTTAATTTTTAATTTAATGTAATAACTAATAATTATATTTGTACATTTATATACAAATCTTTTTAAAATGTATATATGTAATATTATTTTGGTTTTGGTAGGTAGGTAAGTATAATGTACATGTTAAACTAAATTTCAATTTAAAATGGTTCACAATTCTATTTTAATCATAAAAATTTCTGAAGGACATTGATCAAATTGTAGTCATAATAATTTAATGTACCTACAGACATTAGGTATTCATTACTCATTAGACACCTAGATATACTTCAACACTTGTAAATCGTGCTTAATAAATAAAGTATTATTAATATTTACTAATAAATAGGTAGACAGGTGGTAGGTACATTGTAAAAAAAATAATATCTAATAGTGAACGATTAACAGTAATTATAATAGTTATAATAGTTCATTCTAGGCAGGTGCCATTGTTGTTGTGCCAGCCAATATAATTACATTAAACCCACCTGGAGATTATGGCGTAATAGTTTCGACTCCAGACTTTCAAACAATCCGGATGCCCAGGTGGTATGTGCCCTAACACGTGAACCTTTTCGCCGTTAAATTCAGCATTCTGCAACTCGTATATGAACCATTGAAGTTCTTTGACTGGATCAGTACTATTCATTAATAGCCACCAATTTTTATTGTTGCAATAGTTCATGTTCAACGATATTATGCGGAACCCAGGCCGGACCAATACACTGTAGAACGCCCCACGTTTGATGGTTCTGCTGACGGAACCTGGTAGCCAACGTCGCCATTGTGTGTCCAATTCGCTGTACAGCCAGTCGATGGCATACTCTGGTTTGTTTACCAACGAAGACGGTGGGAAACTGAATATTAGATTAATTTTAATACACATGTCTTATGAGCGTACAAGTCATTTTAATATTACACTTGTGCACAATATTAAACTTTTGGCACTATGGAAATGTAGAAGTGTATAATATAAATACCTATTCACTGGAACTGCTTCGTGATTCCCAAGTGCTGGAAATATGGGAATTCCAGGAAACATTTTGAGTAACTGCGCTACAGTTTCCTTCAATATGCTCAAGTTTTCTTCTTTTGTCTGGTTCCAAATATCGTGTGCCGGTAGATCACCAGTCCATATAATGTAGTCGATGTCCTTGAATAAAATGTCAATTTTCAGTTCCTAATTTTACAATTAATTTATTCTGAAATCGTTTACAGTGTGTGTAGAAACAATATGTTGAAGCATATTGTCTATGGTTCGTTTAGGAGTATCACATTTCCTGTAGTCTCCCCATCTCCCCGCTCGGTTTTGAGGACTGACTGCTGGGCCATTGGTCAAACGGCAACATAAAGGTTCGTTGCAATCGGCATTTGTTCCTTCTTCATAATATGGATCAAAATGGGTGTCAGACAAATGGAGAACTTTGAACTGAGGAACTGGTTCCTACAATTTTTCAAAATGTAAATGTAATGAATTACAATGATCTCTATGCTCTAATAGCACTATGGACTATATGGATAGGTATTAACTTAAAATTCTACTTTTATGACTAAAAATTCTTAATGGAGACACTTTGATTTATTTAATTATTTATAATATTTTATATATGTTTGATTATAATATTAACTAGGTACATAAAACGTCAAAAGTGTTAAATGATTTACCTAAGTAGTAGGTATATCTACCTATAAGTTTATAAACTTGTGAGTCGTTTACCGAGTATATCGACGTAATATATTTTAAAGTTTTAAATCAATAACTTACATTTTTATCGGTGGTTAGGTAGGTAGGTACTTATATTATTTCGTATTTTTATTCAGTTTTGACTAATTCTACTGAAACTGATAACAATCGTCACATTTCAATTATTTTTAATTCGACAAAGTTATATTAATGACCTTGGTATTTACGTGTTTTAACTATGTTTAGAAAAATATGTTATAGTAGTATAGGCACCTAATACTGCATAAATATTTATTATTTACTACCTATATATTACTTTTAATATTTTAATTTCGTTCGGAGTGGGTTTGGGAACAGGAGGAAAAACTACATCCCATTCGTGTGTTGGGTTGTACACATCTCCACAGGCGTCGCCAATGACAAAGCTGCAGATTTCTTCAGGCCCGATATTTATTCTTTGTAGAACGTAAACCACTTCACCCTAAAGTGAGTAAATTAATTAATCATTGTGGTTATAATTTAAATGCATATTAAGGTATCTTATACCCATATATTATGTTATTCAACAATTATTGTCAAAGTGACTTACACTAAATAGTTCAGTAATGCCCTCACAGACACGAGGCGTCTGTAATTTAAAGCTTGTGCAGAACTGGTAGGTAATTTTTACAATGTCATCACGTGTTTTACCATGTTTTATGTAGTGTTGTAGTAGACCAGCACCAGCTTTACAAGCGGTACATGACATTTTAGACATGACGCTAGTTTCCACCTCGCCCACAACCTGGTTTAAATTGAGTAATTGTAACGCTTTGTCCACGAACCCAGGCAGAGCAGCCCGCGAAGATCGGCTATCTTCTTTATTTTTTCCGCCATCAGTGTCATAGAAATACTTTGTGTAATTTGCCTGAATAGAGAAAATACATACATTTAATACATATAACATTTAATTTTGATATATTCTTTATGTAAATATAAATATCGACTGTTTATTTGTTAAACTTGCACAATTCATTCGATTTAATATGATTATACACGAAAATTAGTGTTTTCTAAACCAGCTTATAATAAAACGTTTTAATTAAGAACCGCTCCACCGAGCAAAAAGTGAAGAAGATTGAAGGCCATGTGTTTATTTGGAAACTAATTTTCAACACAAATGATATTAACCCTTAATATATAGATATAAGGTATATATCATATGTATAACATGTTATATTGAAAATTAACGATGCTCTTCACTTAAAATTGAAATGTATTCTTGTAAAGTGTTATATTAAAGTTATTTAAAACAATTTCTTTTTATAAATTACTTTTAATATGTGAAATTTTCTTAATGTCTCGTTTTCCATTTTTTCGATGTCTGGGGCAGTGTAAACACCAGTTTGGTTGATCATTAGCAACGGCTGATGATCGGAATCTGAGCTCAATAATACTACGTCTTCCCATAGTGACATGTTGTGAGTGGTCCATTGTGGTGCTGTCGGTCGTGGTTTTTCTATTGGTACACCTACAATTAAATTCGCCAATATTAAAATAACATTATGATTAATATCATAATATACGATGTTATATGTAAGTCCGTCGTAAGTATTAAGTATAGTTTTAAAGTGCAAAAAAAAATCTTTTTTTTAAAAATATTTTAGTTTTGTGTTATTTAATGATTGAATGGAAATGTACATTATAGGCTATTGATTTATCATTCCATACTAATTAGTCATTACTACTATCTATTTTTTTTTCAGAAGATCAATTTTTTTTTTGTATATTTACATAGTTACCTATATACAGTTTGTAAATTACATAACAATACGGCATGATATAAATAATATTTAAAACATTTTTAAACTTAAATTAAGCAGGTTTAGGTTTAAAATATTGTGATACATTTTTCATTCTACTCATTCACCGTATCTACAAACATATAACTAAAATACTATTAACAGTTTGAGTTATTATGGAGTTTAAGTTTAAAATAAAAACGTTTCTAAAAATATAAATATTTTTCTTAAATTGAGTACAAATACCACCACTTTGAATAAACCAAGCTACCAAGGGATGTAGTTAATATTATATTAATAATATATATACCTAACTACATCCTGATATCCATCACTTATTTTATTACTTTCTTCAAATTGGTGGCCTTTTACTTGATATATGAAGAATGTGTGGGTTTTAAATACTTAAGTAGGTATTTCAAATGTCACCCGTACTTGTGTTTACATTATGATTTGTCATCGTCATTATTGTAGTTATTACCTGCTGTGAAGACTGCACACACAGTAATGAACGTTACTATCTGACGTGACCATGTTGTTAACAGACTGAACTGCATAATATGTTGAGAATCTAAAGATGAAAACAGAACAATAATAATAATTAAAAATAAGTTTATGTTGTAGTTAGTAAGAAAATTAATAATGATGTATAATAGTATAATATTATCTTAATATTTAATTTGTTTTTGGTAGAATGAATTTCAATACTACAGGAAGTGTTATAGTTAAAAAAAATTATTCATTAAGTATGCAATATTATAATTACATATAATATAATAGGTGGAGACGTGGAGTACGGCTCGTCTACTTAAGTACTAAAATGTTGGCTTTTTGGAAAATATCGTCTCACCTAACATGTTTAACTCATTTTTTAGTTAGTAGCTACTTGCTAGGTTCATATAAAACGTATGTATAAATGTTATTTATAACAACATATATTATTTAAGATACGCAAATAGTCTCAATTACTTCCGGTACGTGAATGTATAAAATACATGTACACATTATACTGGTTTTTTTTTATTAGAGGGTTATTGTTGCCCCCGTGGTAACATAGACCATTGGCTGTGGGATGGTATGGTAGGGGTTTTTCATATATTTTTAGTAGGTTTTCGTGTTGGTATGGTTGTAACAAGTGATTGTGTATGTTTGGCAAGTATATGTTGCTAAAAATCTCAGGTGGTCACCCATCTGGGAGCTAACAACACCGGCCGGTGCGTAGGTACACTCAGAGCGCGTGCGCAACTGAGTGTGGGCCACGCGCCACACCGCGCCACATTCTGATAATTTATTAGGTGCACACTGCACAGGAATATTAGGAAGTTGATTTATGCTGACGCCTGACATACTGTATACAAACGAATCACCTAAATATTATATTATATTATTACATTTGGTATTCCGGTATTCATATTCATAACTCACGTAATCGACATGTGATGTGTGCTAGGCAGGAAAATGTACAGCCACATTACACTATTTTTTTATCATTGTTCTGATTATATAATATGGTGATTTGCGACGGATTTATAACAAAGATTACGTGATAACATATTTCACCATACCATTATTACCTTCAGATTCAAATTTTGAAATATTGTCTATATAATATGTCTAAGGAGTATTGGATAGGCAATTTTTGTATAATATTCCGATGCGTCTTTTCGTTTTGTCTTTACTGATTAGTAGGTAATAGATTTTAATTTATATTAATATATGGGCTTGTATTCTTCAATGTTATTTCCTTTACTACACTTTCTCCCATGCATGTACTGTGTAAATATGTTAGTATCAGCTCACCGTGGTGAAAAATACATATGCCTTAACTATAGGTTACTAAGTTAGACCTCTGCAGGGACCGTGCAAAAATAGGGTGAGGGGAGCGATCCTTCCAGTCACCAGATATTATAATGGTATTTACTTTTTACGTCTCAATTTTAATTGTGTTTAAAGTAAAACCATTGATTTGAAAGTAATTTTATCATTTGTATAGGGCATATTTATAATATTATATTATCTGCAAGTAGAAAGTTAGTAAAGGATACAGGTTATACAAATTCGGCAATAAAAAGTTAATTTGATTTGCATTCCTAAAAAATATACTTGCCAAGGAAAACTAACCCTTACGGGAAAAATCTGGAACCGTGTGCAGATCCGGATAGGCCCAACGAATTACTGAGTTGAACTCGGTGGGTTGCCTTAGATATATGTGGCTGAAAATATTTGAATACCCTTAACTCTAAATAATGAAATATGAATAGTAGTAAGTAATAAATATGATGTCTTATTGAAAAATGGGCCGTTAACTTTTTAGGGCCGGTTAAAATTCTATAAGACTCGGTGGGCCGATTCTTGCCTACTCAGCGCTGACCGCTCCTGGACTTCAAGCATGACAATGAAAACTAAAAAGTATTACAAGTGGAACAAAAATGCATCAACTGTTGGTTTCTTTTGCTGTAATTAATCTACAATTCTACAAGACTACAAAAAAGACTTTCATGATTTATATTCCTTTAGTTTGTTAAAAAAGCAAAAAAAAATATTAGTTATAACTTTTTTACTAATTAATCAACATTTTTGTTGTATCTAAATGGTTCATTTTAAATACCAAGTTAGAAACTATAATAAAGTTACATTAATATTAATTATATTGTGTAGAATAGGGGTACTTAAATATATATAACAAGGTATTACAGAAAAATAAATCATTATGTATACAATTAATACATTCCTTGCTTCGTTTAGTTAGAATCTAAAACATAATAAGGCGACTAAAGTTTATCCAAACGTGTAAAGATAAACTATGTAAAATTATTCACTGATAAAATTTCTTTGATAAAATGACCTAATTCTGCAATTTATAATTGTGCAGTAGAGAAGTAAAAGTAATATTTTAATAAATAAATTCATTATTTTCGAACAATTATTTAGTTATGATTTAAACACGATATTACTAAACTAATATTTTTTTAAATAACGGTGTTAAGACTAAGAACGAAATATTAAATTGTTTTTTTTTTATAAATTGTATTTTTTAATATAATAGGTATAAACTATAAAGTTATAATCGTATAAAATCATTTTTTCTAATAGAAATGTATACTGACAAAATCCATATGAGTATTGTCTCGATTAGCAACTTATTTTATACATACAATTAGTATTAATAAGTTACGAGAATTGGTAGTGATCAATTATTTTATCCAAAACATACCAATCTTTTGTCCATCATACTGATAGTCGACAGACCTAGTAATGTGATAATACTTTTGAAAACTGATTTCAATTTGTTATTAAATCTAATTGAGATCGATTAGTCCTTTTCCCAATTTCACCTTCCAACTCCTATAAATTCAGTTTCGAATATTTTAAAATTTAGGAATTTTGAAACGTTGATTATTCGGAGTAAAAATCAGACATCTTAAAATGGGGACTGCTAGAACTCAAGTAGACATCATAAGAAATGATAAGTGTTCTGAAATATTATCGTATTATTGGGCCCATTGGTAGGATGGACAAAAAGAACATAAGAATGAGCATAAATTGTTTACCATTCACGATCCACTTTAAGTCGGTGATTTGTGAATTCGCGTATGGGAGCGCTAGGCTATATTTTTTACATTACAATCATATATATTTACAAGAACCGCATGCATGCAATTTGAAAATTGTCTATTTTGAACTCCTTCAGAATTGTTCGCCAACAATTCCCCACCCTCCCTTCTTCAGTTATTATTTCATAAGAAATGTTTCAAAATAATATAATAATAATCTATTAAAGTTTGGCCATTAAGCATAAGAAATGAAATTTGACTACCTAATTTTTAATTTTTTAAAATTTTTACTCTCCATATATATTTATTTTATTGTTTTGTTAATTTATATCTCATAATTCTGAATCAGATATCTAATTTCCACTTTCCAAGATATGTTTATGTTGCAATTTTTATATTTTTAATTTGTATACGTGCGTTTAATGATGACCTGATTATAATTTCATAACTTTGTCTAGGTATATGAGTATGGATAACGGATAATATTTATATAATATGAATTTCGTACAGATGTACAGTTCAACTTTCAACCCAATTTTTTATTCTTGAAAACTTTTAGTGGCATTTAGATGAAGAGATATCCAAATATAATTGGATTATATTTTTTCATTGAGGATTTTGAAAGACTAATGACAACATTAATGGACACGGTTAGTATTTTGGACAACATTTGGTGTCTTTAAACTAGCCGACTAACGTGGATAATATACGAATTAGTATAATCCGATACTCAGAATTACTTGAAAATCTGTTTCCCAATCATTTAAAAGAAATTTATTTTAGCTGTCGATACTAGTTTCTTGACATTTTGACGTAACTTTAATAGGGTTTTTTGAATTTATACTTTGTGAATCAAGTACTTATACAATTAGTTTATAAAAATTAAAAGGTAATAGATTAGTTAAATAATATAGGACTTAAGGCTGTAAATAAATTGATTTCTGTAGGTTAATAATTAATAATACCAACATTATATTCTATGTTCAATCATATATACCTAGTTTATATTATATATTTGAAAATATATTCTTTAGAAAAAAATTGTCAGCAAATAAAAATATTTTTTTCTTTGTTTTTAAAAATGTTCGTTGAATACTATATAGGCTCATAGCTACAAATAAATTGGCAACAATATAATAATAAAATAACATAACCGATTTAAATTATGCTTTATAGCACATCCTCTGAACCAAAGAAAAAAATATTGAATTATAAAACGCCAATGCAATTTAAATTTAATAATATAATGTAGTCAACAATAAAACAGGAAATTATATTTGCATAAATGCATAATATAAGTTGACTATTCTCCATTATTCGTATGCTGTATTATAATAAGTTTGTAAGTACGTAACTGGTAACTACACATATTAACGTGATGTACTGAAGTATGCAATACTCGAACAAAAAGTTAAAAGATAAAGGTATTAGCCACTAGGAATGGTACCTAAAACCTGCGTATTAAGTACAGTAAGTTGTAAGTTTGTAACCACCAACGACGTAAAATCAATATTGTTATTTATTTAAACTGTTTAATAATACATAGGATATTATTAAAAGTCAAGGTGAAATCAATTATATAGGTAGGTACATCATATAAAGATATTGTATTTTTATTTATTTTTTGAACAGGTTTAATAATAAATTGATCTATATCTTTTAATGTTTTAATTATTAACACATTAAAAAAATATAAATCAATTTATTCACGTGTATTAACAGTTAATACATATGATCATTTAAATATTTAGGTGAATATATATATTTTACTATGTTGTCAGGTGTTTGTAGTATTCTTTACCTATATTTAAAATATTTAAGAATGTTGTTAGAATTAGAATGATTTATTGACTATCTTTTTGTGTTCATTTACAGGTACTTAGGATTTTTGAAATAATACTTTTGGTGTTTAAGTTTATCTACATAAATGAGACTAGACCAGACAGACCTCTTATGTGTAAGACAGCTTACCTATATGTACAAGATTTATTTTTTGTTCATGAGAAGATTTGATACA